TCCGCAACAGCATGGAGCACAACTGAAAGGAGCCCCCCCACCCCCCGTGGGGGGCTGCGGTAGAACAGGAAGCCTTTGATCTGTCCTCCTCAGCACTTCAAAGGGGGCTGCCCCCGGCCTGGGCCCCCTCCCCCTCTGCCGGCAGCTAATTGAAGCCAGGCTGGGAGCCGGCCTGTCCCATTAGCCCTGGCGGGCTGGGCTCTGCCCCCCACCCCCGGCTGGAAATGGGGGGGTCCCACAAAGCAGGCCAAGTTCCCGGGGAAGCACGTGGCCCCCGACCTGCCCTTGGCAAGAGACGCTCAGACCCCCCTCCTGGGGCCCCCACGGCACTGGCACCAGGGGCTGTGGGACAAACCCAGATGGCCAAGGCCTGGCAGGCTCCCTCCCTGCCAGCACTGGGCCTGGCTGGGCCTGGCCTTCCCTAAGCATCCTTGGGAGCTGGCGCTCCAGGACGGATGCCCCCCATCAGGGAGCCAGGGGCTGTCTCACCCCCCTGCAGGCCAGGCCTCCCTCCCTCCCTCCAACGCTGGGGCCACCGGGAGGTGACACCGTCCATGCCCAGCACGTGTGGCCGGGGGTGGCTGCACCTCGGGGGCTGCAGGTGGGTGCGCAGACTCTCCCCTTGGTTCCGGCTCTAAGCGGAGCCCTGGTACCCCACGGTGCCCCCCATTAGCCATCAGGGCGTCCCCGACCAGCCTGGGAAACGAGGGACGGCCGGGCCCCGACGGGGAGGGACCGGCCCAGCAGAGCTTCGCCAGCCGCCAGGAGGACAGGCGCTCAGCATCGGGGCAGACGCCTTCCCTGGACCCTGCCCCCCAGGCAGCCCCAGAGCCCCTCACACCGTCCCTGGACCCTGCCCCCCAGGAAGCCCCCATACCCTGTCCCAGGCACCCCCAGAGCCTCTCACACCCTCCCTGGACCCTGCCCCCCCAGGTACTCCCCATACCCTGCCCCAGGCACCCCCAGAGCCCCTCACGCCCTCCCTGGACCCTGCCCCAGGTACCCCCAGCACTGCCCCCCACCTTGGCGATGTCCTGCCCGTCGATGCGGATGCAGCCGCCCCACACATCGTAGAAGCGGAAGAGCAGGCGGATGATGGTGCTTTTCCCTGAGCCGGACGGACCCACCTGAGCACGAAGAGCACAAGGGTCAGCAGGCCAAGGTGCCGCTCAGTGCGGTGGGGGCCGGGGGCACAGAGAAGGCACCGTACGGACTGGCAGGTTCCTGAGTAAAGGGAATATGTCGTATGGAGACGCCAGTATTCCCGGGAACCGGCAGCTCTGTACAGACCGGTACCAGACATCATTCT